GTCCACGTACCTCGAAAGGTGAAAGCAGCTTTTTCTTGCGTAACAGCAATTGGAAATTCAGATTGTTCTTCTTTTTTTTTCTTTCTTTCTATCGTGATAATGTCACGCCAAGAATCTCACGGGAGACGACGATCTTTACACGACGAAGTTGCGTGAACTTGTAAGATACGTGGGATAATAGAGAATGACCGAAGATTTAAAAGGAAAAGATAATCGCATGACGATTTATCGAGCAATTTCTTTTTCCTTGTGGAAAGTGACCCTGAGGATGAAAATACCTCTCCGAAGAAATTTCTTTTTATACTTTACATCGCGAACATTATCCGTTTGACCCGAATGTATCCCGTGCGAATGTCGGCCAATCCTCTTTCGCGGCCGGATTTCATGGTAATTTTCGTCGATTCCCTATCTTTGGAATCAACCGCGAACCAATATGAATCGATCGTTCCACGTTGAATTTCGTCGATCTTCCTACGCATTGGAATCCCGTGGCCATTTGCATCGGTTCCTTATCTACGAAATCGACCACAGCGCCCCACTTCCAAAACCCTCAGGCAGAAGATCTTGAAACATCGCTCCGTGACTTTCCCACTTGGAGCAGGGGGAGAAAAGCGAGCCATCCAAGACTCTCCAATTTTTTCCTCCCCCTCTGTCGCATATCGATGCCCGACTCTGCGATCTCCGATTTGAATAATATGAAAAATCGAGGCTCGCTCGTTCCTTCTTTCGACAGACTGGAGAAGGAGAGAAGGATAGAAGGCAGGAAGGAAGATAGATAGATAAATGGGGAGAACGCTGGAGATGAACGGATATATGGTAGAGAAAGAAAGAGAGAGACGAAGAGAAGAAAGACGCGCGATCGCTGTGGAGTGAGTTAGGGCCGGCAGGCAACGCTATGCATACCGTCACACCCAGCGACACGCTCCAAATTTGAAATTTAAATTCGGTACGTCTCACGGGACCGCGCCGTTGTACACCGGTTACTGACACACACACACACACATATACACACATACATTCGCGCGTGTGCGTCAAGCGGCGTACTCGCGAGAGTGCGTGTTCGGGGTGGAAAGGGAATCGAAGGCAAGAAACGAGGGTAAACACAACACGAAGCGAGGAGAGAAGGAGTCGTCCGACGACAACGACGACGAATACATCGCTGTTTCCACGACGATCATTGGCCGACCCATTCCAGCTCGTTTCCTCTTCTCCGTAAACACCCTCGGGAGTGGTAATTCGACGCTGACCCTGCGACCTGTCCTCTTCGCGTCGAGTCTCGAGACCGGTGATCTCCTCTCGGCTGGGCTAGTGTCAGCCGATGAACTTGACGTGCAACTCCATTCCCGCGAAGAAAGTGATTGCAGAGATTATTGGTTGGTCAACGATTGTTTATCTTCAGGAATCGATACGGAATTAAATTAAACATCATATGTATGAAATCTTGAGACTCGGGGAGTATTTCAACACTTGCAGGAATTGTGGTGAAACACTTTGACACTTCGTTGAGACGCGATTGTTTTCAACGATGTAATATTTCGGTCAAATTTACGATTATTACAAATCTGAAAGCTCCAATTCATGAAGGTTGAACGATCACTTTCGATTTCGTTAGCGACGAGTGAGATCCTCCCAGACGTATCTTTCCCTGGGTGGTGGTAGCGTGCACGACCTACCTCGGTTTCTTCGTGCAAGTCCGGCCACCGCCAGTCGCACTCGAAGAATTCCTCCACGTTGCCCGGCCATACGAGCAACTTGCGTAACGTGACACGTGTCGTACCAGGTGGCATAATTTACGTGTCGCACGCGCAAACTACCGTGACTGCTTCGCCACCGACACACGGCACCTTCCTCTCATCTCGATAATCTCGTTCAAAAATGAACAAGTAACACTTTGCAATCGTCGATATTTGAGGCTACACAGCCGTACTATTGCAAACTTGAGATTTCATTTAAAAATTTGAGCGTCGAACGCCAATGTGAAATATTTACAATTTTATCTCAAAATTTCGGAAATATCCTGTACCCTATATTCGGAAATATATACCTACAGTGCTCGTTTGGAGAGTATAGCGCTCCAATGTTAGAAATGTCAAGTTTTATTTTAGAATTTAATAATCAATTATTCTCGAGATAGCAGGAAATAAGATTATACCACACATTCCCTCGTTTGGAAGAAGCAACGTGTTACTATATACATTTAGCGACTACACATATATATATATTTAGAATCTCGTCGTTTCCACGTTTGAGACGCCAAACGGAGGAAACTCGGAGTAAATCCTGGAGGCACTACGAAACAGCGGGTCAATCTTGGAAGCTTTACCAACCCGGCAAGTTTATCGGTGGTGCGCGAGAGAAACTTGGACCTTACTTTGCGAATTCGGTGTAGCCGCGTTCTTGGATGTATCTGAAGTACTTCTGGAGAGTGCTTGAATTAGGCCGAGCGCGCTTCAAAGCCTATTACACACAATGAGACGACTTAGAGAGACAGAGAGAGATAAAGAGAGGAGGAGGATCGACTCGAGTGGATTCGACTCGAGCGTCTACTCGCGAGAATCCATGGATACCTAACTGCGTGTCCATTACGAAACACCTAGCTTCCCCGCTGCACGAATTCCGTGGTTCATTCGATCCCGTGTGCCATAGCCCGACGAAACACGAGAAGATCGAGGAAGCTTAGAACATTAACGCGTAGGCGGTAATAGATTAGATAGGTACGAGGATTAAGCGAAGAGAATTAATCCTGAAACCCCTATGGGATGTGAGAGAACTGCTCCCCGCGCGCTCAGGCCTGACAACTGGACCGCGGATTTTTACGCCAGGTCACATTTTTCAGAGTGTAATTAAAAAAAGCAGTTGGGACCTTGGTAGAAAGTGAAAATTATTCTACGTGTCGCGAAAACGTTTCACCGAGCGTTTATACTTTGGACGTATTTTATTATTACGAATTAAACGCGCATCGCGTGCAGTTTTCCACTTCGAACTAACGAACGTCTCCACCGCGGTGATCCGTAATTTCTCAATACACCGTTTAAAACTGCGATCTCCATTGCCTATTCACCAGAGAGAGGGGGCGCGAGAATCCCCTTTTGAAACGGGACGAAAGTGAAGCTGCGACGAAAATCTGGCGGCTGAGAAGGGGTGGAAGGCAGAGGGAGGGATGGAATTCTACCACGGAGGCAGGTGACGGCGGGACAATTATTTTCACCGGCTCCCCGGTGTTTCGACGGTGTCTCGATGAGGTCGGATAATCGCGGTACGCGTGAGAGCCCCTGGGATTCTGCGTGGCTCGTCGGAGCAGCAGTAGTAGTAGCAGTAGCAGCAGCAACAGCAGTAGCAGCAGCAGCAACCGCCGCTGGTAGTAGAAAGATAGGGGGGTAGTGTCGATGGCAAAGAGTCGACGACGGCAGGGGTGGGGTAGGGGGAGGAACAGGGGGGACAACTGGCGGAGGGCGGAGGACGGAGGACGGAGGGTGCGAGGGCTGGGATGGATTTTACAGCGCGCAGTTTTCACCTTTGAGATTCCATCCGGCGGCGAAGGGGTGGGTGGGCCGTGCTGCACCCGCGCCGCGTCGGCTCGGGTACTTTGGTCTAGGAATTCAAGGACCCACGGAGTCTGGGAGGGGTGGGATACGACGACGCGGCTCTCGCGCGTCGGGGGCGGTGCGGCTGATGGCTGCTGCTGCGTGGCGCTGCTCTGAACACCGTGCGACGAGGACACCGGGCACGCCGGTAATCGAGAAAAACAGAAAGATAGAGGAGGAGGCGCGGCTGAGACGCGAGAGGGTGAACGAGCGCGTCGCGCGAAACGGAGCAAGACCGACGTAGAAAAGCTGGAGAGAGGCATTGAAGTCGCGAAAGAAAAAACGAGAGAGAGAGAGAGAGAGAGAGAGAGAGAGAGAGAGAGAGAGAGAGAGGGAGGGAGGGAGAGGGAGGGAGGGAAAGGGTTGGTAGGAAGAGAAGAGGGTTGCAGGGGGAAGCGAAGAGAAAGAAGAGAGGGAGAATGAACGAGCGCTAGGAAGGGAACGAAGAGGGTTGGTCCGATAGCGTCGCGGCGATGGTGAACACCGTGGAAGAAGGACGGAGGTAAAGCGATAGAGAGGAAGGCTCGAGTGCGGTGGGTGAGGAGGAGGAAGAGGGGACCGGCGCGCACGGAAGTGAGACAAAAAGATGGAGAGAGATTCGAAAACGGGGGTGAAAGACACAGAGAACGGAGAGGGAGGGAAAGAGAGAGAGAGAGAGTGAGAAATGGGGGGCGCGCGCAGAGTGAAAGAGGAAAAGCGAAAAGGGAGAGAGAGAGTGAGGAGGAAGGCGCGAGAGGGTGGTGGGTGGTGATTGTAGCAGCGAGCAGCAGCCGAGAGAGCCGGTCGATACACGACCACCACTACAAACGTGTCGCAGGACACGCAACACAACCTGCTGGCTGTTCTGCGTGTGCAACGATACCGCTCCACGCGGCCACCCTTCTTCTCTCTCTCTCTCTCTCTCTCTCTCTCTCTCTCTCTCTTTCTCTTTCTCCTCCCCCTTTTTCTCTTTCGCCGTGATATCCTCTCTTCTCCCTTCGGGCCGCGGCTTTCTCACCCTTCTCGTATAGGACGGGAACGAGAGCTGCCGAGAAGCAAGGTGTTTTAGCACGGTCTCGAGGATCCGCCATTTTGAGAGGGAGTCGTTTCCCCTCGTTCCCCCTTGAAACGTTGACTTTTCACGGTAAAATCTTCGCTAGAGCTCTCGCCCGCGTTTCGATATACCGACGAGTATATTTCGCCGAGCCAAAGGAATTACCTTGACCAAGCATCAGGATGTCATCACTCTCTGTACTTGTTCGCGCATTTAACGTGAGAATTACGTGTGAACCCCAAGTGGGGTTTACTCAGAGAGATCGCAATGCGTATTTTCTCTTTTTTTCTTTTTCATCATTAATACAAGTTTTTATTCGTCCCTTACAGCGAACGTAGCATTCTTCAATTTTTTTAACCAACGTTCTTCCTCTTTGATTGCAGTTGTTCTCTTGGACACGACACAGGAGGAGAAGCTCGAGTGGACAAAGTATCCGTTCGGCGCGGAAGCTAACACCCCAGGGGTAAGTTTTGCTATTAACGCGAGGCCAATCCCGTTTGGCCGGTGTGTGTCGTTGTGGGACCTCCGTAAGAGGATTCTACCAGAGTCTGAACGGTCTACGGTTTTGCGCGAGATCATCGATCGCCTTTGCGAAAGTAGACGTTCTACACGACGACGCGTGTGACTCGTCTCGGTCTTACACGTAGAACTCTCTCTCTCTCTCTCTCTCTCTCTCTCCGTTTGCCAGCGTGCGACTCTAGGAGCGCCTGGTCTCGCTCGGTGATAAAACGGACGAAAAAAATTCGGAACGCAGCTGACACTTTCTCGTTCTGAATGGAAAAAGTGACCGCGTCCGCGTATATATGCGTGTCCGCGGGGACACACACCATGGACACGCACCATGGTGGAAGAACAGCGGGTTCCGGGGGTATCAGAAGCGCTTTATAGTCTCGGTGCGCGCGGCATACGTGGGCTCCCGCTGGCCGGTGCGCTCTCTCGGCGCCATGTTTGTTTTTCAGTTGTTAAGCGCGCAGCGGGCCGCCAGACAGGTTTAAATCAGCCACTACCTCCTCCTCCACCTCCTTCACCACCCGACTATCCAGCCAGCACCTCCTGCACTCTCTCTCTCTCTCTCTCTCTCTCTCTCTCTCTTTCGTTCTCTCTGTTTCTCTCTTCGTTTCTCTACGCGTGTCCACGCCGTTCCTCTCTTTTCGTTCCTCGCAAACCCATCTTGCTTCGCTCCTCGGACGGCGGATCCCTCTCTCTGTTTCTGCGTGCTCGTCTCGCGCGGGACGTGCACCGCCGGACCAAGAGAGAGTCAGTCCGCTGGGTAACAAATTGCTTTTTGTTTGAACGGACAAATTAGAGAGACGGCCGCCAGATAGAGGGTGGAAAGGGGAACGGAGCGGAGCGGTGCACGCGAGAGCGAGAAAAAGAGAGAGAGGGAGAGAGAGCGTGCAGAGGATGCGTTTATTTAACGTCGCAGGACGTACAGTTTCCTATACGCGCGTATATATAAATACCGTACTCGCGTACGAGTTGAAAATTTCGCTGCGACCCAGCGCGCGCTCCTTCTCGCGCGCGATCCTACGTGGGTGTCACCCGCTAAATATCTCTCCGCCACGCCAGCCATGCCAACTTTATCGCCGATAACCGTCCGGTCGGGGCCGCTTTTACATCGACCGTGAGTTTCCACGCTTTCTTTTCGTAATTCGCGCGCGCCTACGGCGAAAGTGGCACGGAACGAGATTTTGTCAGTGTCGAGAATGTCCGATGGAAATCCGATTCATCCATCTTCGTAGCCTGCAACAGACAGCAATCACGTCGCTCTTCCTGATGCGCGTGACAACTTATTTTCAATTGCGCCGTTAATTCGTAATTTTCCGTAGAAATTGGAAAGATTCGAATCACATATTGCAAAAACGATACTCCAAGAAGTAAGAGTCGTCGACCGTTTCGATATTTAAGAATTCTGGAAAGCATACATTTTCCTAGTTGTATTCTTTCTCCGACTCTCTCTCAGCGATAATTAATCGATGGTTTCGTATTGGCGGAGCCACGAACAAAAATTATCGGCGGGTCAGTCTTATTTCTTGTTATTTAACAAACCGTTTAAAATCGGGAAGCGGAGGTCGAGTGGAAAGATGTCGGTCGTGTGCGCTTCGTCGTCGACGTTTCTCTCGTCACGGCGTGGCTTTCAAGCGTCGATCGTTAGTGCGGCGTCGCTAATCGAACAGCGAAACGGTTCCATTTGAAAAGGTTCTTTGAGTTTACTGTTGATTTTACTAGCTGCTAAACGTCGACCGCGCTTCCTTTCGGGAACGGGATCACAGGAACGCGCACCACCAGCTCGCCTCTGCACGGAAGCTCGACTTCTTTTTTTCCTTGAAACGCCACGGAAAAGAAAACAAAAAAAAAGAGAGAGAGAGAGAGAGAAGAAAAAACAAGCCTTGTGCTCATCGTCAAGTACTCGAGTTCACTTCACACCTCTTCTGTCTACATGTGCCCACGACCACCGCGCGAGAAACCGGAGTCGAGCGTCCAAATATGTGTTCACGGGTTTCCTACGATCTCAAGGATCCTGGTTTGACACCCCGTGTCTGGAAAATCGCTCGACCAGTTTTCCACCGTTTTACATCCGCCTCGGTTACCGTCGGACACGTGCAGAAATTTCATTTTTTTCAACACTTTGCACAACAAGTCCAGCTCGAACTTCTTCTTTTTATAACTTGCTGATAATTATAACGTGTACATTTGGTGTCGTACGATGCTACGCGTGTAACAATATAACATCTAGAACAATCGCCTAGAATGAAAACTATTAATAAGAAAACGTAAGAAGAACAAAAGAATTTTGAGAAAGAAGAAATTTCTGAAGTCCTGAATCAATTGACACTTGATGATTCACATAATTCGGAGTAATTCGTATAAACTGGATTTCTCACGAATGTTTAAGAAATGGTGGAGGATATTATTTTTCCATATTACACTTCTAATAAATCTTGCACGTCGACGATAAAATTTGAACGACATCACACGTTAGAAAGATACAATCGACAAATATTTCGCGTTAAATACCACTTGAGTGATTATTTCCAACGTTACATCATTTTATTTAAAGTGACGATGCTTCATAAATAAATTGCTTAAGTCGTTTGTCGAGGGCAAAGGATTAAATTTATTATCGATACATTAGTATTTTAGTGTTAGATTTCAATCCAAGCGTCAAATTTCAAGATGTTTCGAAAATATTGATTTACATAAATATTTAGTTCACAGTCTATTTAGTGTTCGATAATACCGACCGCGAAAGATTAATTTCAAGTTACGAGACACTAGTCTTTCTCGCCTAATTCCGAGGGAGATAACCTGCCCAAGGAGGGAGATAACCTGCTGGAGCTCTCGCGGTGTTGCATGATCGATACCGAGATGAGCTAAGGACCCATGGAATTCGATGGGCGAGCCGTTCTCAGAATCGCCGCGTGTTCTCGTTTCACGTGTAATCGCAAACAAGAGAACGGGCCCGATAATCACGAATAATAACACGTTCGCGATTAAGCACGATCATAGGCGACTTTGTAAATATTAAAACGAATCGGCCAGGAAACGATCCGCTCCGATGACGTTCGTGCTCCGAGTCATCCGATCCGATCCGATCGCGATGAGCTAAGACCTCAAGGAATTTCAGGGGTGGCCAGTCCCCCAGTTTCTTTATCACCGATACTGCGGTCGAACCGGATAAATCGCTCTCTCCACCTGCGTTCACACTACACTACACGTTATGCCCGTGTATTACGTATATCGCGCTACGTACTCGTGTTAATATAATCATCGCCAGCAAGCTCGCCGATTTTCTCTAAATTCGTAAATAAATGTCCAGCGTTCATAATACCAAGCTTTCAATCGTTTTCAACTGCTCAATGAAGGCTTTGCTACGTTGCACAAATCTTTGAAAAGAACAAAATCTTCCTCGGGAAGAAGAAAAATTTCCTTCAGCGTTGTTCGCGGGGGGTCGACCGAGCAAATTGTTACCAGGTTTAAATTTTAAACCACCGACTCCGAAAATTCTCGATGTTCACGACATTTTCGTAATTCAACCTGCGGAATTTCTCTTGCGGCACTTCAATCTCAAACGTTTCCTTGGATCGGGCAGAAGTAGTCCTGAGAAAATCCTCTTAGAGAGTGGTCCAGTTTCTTGATCCGCTTCTAACTGACAGCTTCGCGAAGGAATTGCGTGAATAGAATGCGAGACACATCGCGTTCTTCCCCTAACAGCGAGCTCTAAACCCGTCTAACGAGCACTCCGAGAACGGGGATTAACGTGTTCCGACCACCACTGTGTTTTTCCTCGAGTTTGCGTTGAGATTCGTCAATGATGCACTTTCTCCTGTTTAGTTGACGAGTATCAAATCAACAGTGGTCAATTGCATTGTATCGCGCATTGATGCCGTTTAGACTCAAGTGGTGGTAAAGAGCCTGCAATTAACCCATTGGTAGCCACCCAAGTAGTTCTACGTCATTTTAGATTTAACCTCTCGGCATCGGGAAGCTTCGGTCGTCGTTTAAAAATCGGGAGATTTTTATATACTGGTAGAAATATTCCAACGTAATTTGTGTTACTTTAAAGTGACGTGTTGCTTGTAAGTTTGCTGAGAAATGATTATTTCTAGTCGTTTTCATGTAAATTCGTAAAACAGAGACAGATATTACATTTCAAGTAAAGGAAAAAAAAAAAAGAGAAACGATGGAACGACGATGTAGAATTTTAATTTTTTTAGGAGGTCGGGGGTGGGGGGGGATATTTGAGTCTCTTGACCTAAAATATAAAAATCTACGTTGTCAGAATTCAAACAAAAGAACCTTGCCGGTAGATACGAATCGGGGACAGAGTTTGAAATACGTTTGAACGCTTTTGAAATTCCAACGTGATATTGGGAGGTAAAAAATTATTTAATTTCTTGAACAAACAACAATAATTATTTTACAACGAACCATAAATTCTTTAATTTTTGTTGGCAATTTTTTAAAAATATTTCAATATTCTACTTGCCACGATCATACGAATAATCTTAAACTCCGAGATGAATATTCAAAAAAATGTCGACGCGCAGCAACGTCGTCGTCGTATCTTCATTTTTAATTGACGTAGTTGATCGATATAACTATTGTAAATGGCAAATATGGGCAAAGAGAACGAAACGAGAGGGAACGTGCAACTCTCCCCGCGAAAAACTTTTATGTGGGTTGAGTAATACACAAGAAAGGGTTAATTAACCGAGGAAATCGAGGTCGGGGTAGTGGACTCAAACAGGGAACGGCCTGTTTACCGGTTTCCTTACGCCAGTTCTAATCACTTTGCTCTCCGAAATCGAAGTCCACAGTGGCCCGTGTAATAAGTGCGACTAGTGCCGGGGTTATTAATATACAGGACCATAGAAAGAGAAAGAGAGAGAGAAAGGGTGGGAGGGAGAGGAAGAGGGAGAAGAGCGAACAGCGTCAGAACAAACAAGCCAAACAGAATTA